AGAGAGAGAAAAATAAAAAAGAACCAATAAACGTAAAACACGTTGTTCGTAGGACAGCCGAATGCTTAAAAATAAGTGAAAGAAGTGTGAAACGAATAATGCATGAGGAAAAATTAAATTGTGGTACAGTTCTAGACCCTTTTAATTTTAATGCTGGTAGAAAACCTATTGTGTTTGACGAACATTTGCAAGGAATTGTGAGACGTAAAATTTTTAATACGTATTTAAATAAAGAATACCCAACAGTGTCAAAGTTATTGAGTGACTTAAAAACTAACGTTTCAGATTTTCCTGATATAAGCGACTTTACTTTGAGAAAATTGTTAAAAACTATGAATTTTAGCTACAGAAAATTGCAGAATCGTTCTGTTCTAATGGAAAGTTCCTCAACATCCGGGGAAAGAGCAGAATTTCTTCGCATGATAGAACAATATAGAAAAAATGGTTTTCACATTTTCTATACGGATGAAACGTGGTGTGGAGCGAATCATCATTTACAATATGGTTGGGTAGAAAAAATTATAGAAAGAGACAGAAGCAGTTACGACCATTATCGTTCTGGGGTTCAAGAAATTAACGGATATAGAGGGGGCTTTGTTTGTCCTTCTGGTGCTGGAAAAAGAGTGATAATTCTTCATATAGGAAGCAAAGACGGATTCCTGGATGACTGTATGAAATGCTTCATCGGGAAAAAAGGAAGTCAAGTTTATCACGATGAGATGAATGCGGAGCATTTTGAAGAATGGTTTAGAGAAGTTTTATATAAATTACCACCAAATTCAGCTATCGTTATCGACAGAGCGCCCTACCATACAATGCTGGATCCAGAAAAACGCAATCCAACATCTTCCTGGCTAAAAGAAAAAATAATTGATTGGCTAATAAAAAGGGGTGTGCCAATACCTTCTGGAGCCGATTCATTTGCAGATTTAACTAAAGTAAACCTTCTGCATATAAGCAAACCATACAGGTTTCCCAAATGTTTTTTACTTGAAAAAATAACAAAAGAAATAAGAGGCGAAGAAGTAAAACTGCTGTGGCAGCCTGTGGCCCATTTGAAATTAATGACGTGCATAAACTGTGTAAAAGTGTTATGAACTCGGTGCCACCAACGCTTTGGGAAAATTCAGTTCGACATGTTGAGGAAGTAGAAAAAACCTATAGACTGGCAGGCAATCACATTGAACGAGAAATTGAACCGTTTATTATATCGTTGAATGAAGATGATTCTTCGGATGAAAGTAGTGATCCAGACGATATATAAAATTTTTTGTGTTTGTTTATATAATTAGTATTGTTTACTTTTTGTAAATTTTAAAACTAACTTGGACTTTTTTAAAATTAATCTCTTTCCTAATTTTTTCCATAAATATGCTGAAAAAATAATGATTGAATTCAATTTTCTCTTCAAATCCATTTATGTATGCACTGTTGAAATTAACTTAAATAAAAAATTAATGTTATTAATCTTTAATTAATCTGTCTTTTTAGAGAAGATTTTTTCCTCTGTATAATGGAACTGAAACATTTTTTTATTTAAATCCTCACCATAAAACCTTTATTTATATAAATTTTTTAAAAATATAAATAATTATTTAATTAAAATTATAATTATTTAATATATATAATATTTTATATAATTATAATAATTTAATTATTTATTTAATAATTATTTAATTTTTTAAATAATAAATGTAATTTGATTATAAAATAATAGTAATGTGAAAATCAATTTTTTTAAATAATCAAATATTTTTCAATAGATATTTTTAACAGAAAAATTTTTTTATTGCTAATGTAATAAATTTATTTATTTATATTTTATAAGTACCAATTATTTTGGAAATTTTAATTATTTAAAAAAGTTAAAAAAAATATTTCATATTTATAATAAAGGGAGTTTTTAATTAATAAATAATGCATAATTTATAGAAATTCAATTATTTGTGTTTATAAAAAAAATTTATTTATTTTAAATAAAAAAAAACGTTGTCTGTAAAAAAAGATGTCATTTATACGTGATGTACAAATTATTCGTTTTGGGGCCTTCATGGCCATATATATACAGCCCACGGTTGGCCTGAACTAAATTTTATTCAAACTTTCAGTAACTCTAAATTTTTTTGTTGATTCTGAATTTATATTTTTTTAGCATTATTTTAAGACAAAAAAGAAAAAAATCGGCGGAGGGCTTTTTGAAATATACCATTTAAAAAAAAAAAATTTTTTTACTAAAAACTAAGTTACAGATTTATTTGAGTTGACTCGTTTTGTTTGTATTTTTTTTAAGCAGTCTAATAAATGTTAAGGTATTTAAAGGATAAGTAGGATTTCATAGCTGCAAAAGGTTTTTAATTTGACAAACAATGTACCGTTGACAAAAAAATATTTTATCGAACTAAATATTTGAAATATAATTTGTAATAAATCTGTAATAAAAATTACAATATTTTTTATACACATTTTAACGATTTATAAATGAAGTTAAATTTTAAAAATGTTTATGCAAAATATATAAACATGTAGCTTCAGATGTGCGAACTATTATACTGACACACTGCACATCTGAAGCTACATGTTTATATATTTTGCATAAACATTTTTAAAATTTAACTTCATTTATAAATCGTTAAAATGTGTATAAAAAATATTGTAATTTTTATTACAGATTTATTACAAATTATATTTCAAATATTTAGTTCGATAAAATATTTTTTTGTCAACGGTACATTGTTTGTCAAATTAAAAACCTTTTGCAGCTATGAAATCCTACTTATCCTTTAAATACCTTAACATTTATTAGACTGCTTAAAAAAAATACAAACAAAACGAGTCAACTCAAATAAATCTGTAACTTAGTTTTTAGTAAAAAAATTTTTTTTTTTTAAATGGTATATTTCAAAAAGCCCTCCGCCGATTTTTTTCTTTTTTGTCTTAAAATAATGCTAAAAAAATATAAATTCAGAATCAACAAAAAAATTTAGAGTTACTGAAAGTTTGAATAAAATTTAGTTCAGGCCAACCGTGAGCCCAGATAATTTTTCGTGAAAAAAATTCTGAGTCCAGGCGAAGGAGTTGGATGGGATCTAATTTATGGCAGGCTTAGCAGTTCCATTCAAGAAAAAATGGCATGCCGCTACCCTTTTTCACCTGTTCCTTGAAAAAAAACTGTCCAAAGAAATGATCAAAATCATAAGAATAACGATAATTACACTTTTTTAAATAAACAGAATTAATTACTGGGTTCAATATTTATGCTGAGAAATTCGATTCATTAAAATTGGCCCAATAGATCCAGAGATAACATGATCTTCTTTTTTTCATAATAAAAACAATAATTATTAATATTTTTTAAAAATTCAAAAACAACTTTATTCCCATGGATTTAAGGAATAATTAATACATTTTTCAAATTTTTTCAACAAAGATTTTCATATAAAAGTGTCATACAAATTCAGTTAATTTTCAAAGTGGCCAAATATTGGGTGCATTTTGCTTTATTTTTGCGTATGTTAGGAAGAAAAAATTTTTTTAAGAAACGACCTTCAGTATACAAGCTTTTGAGTTTTCAAGCTTTCCAAACATTGTTTTCATTTTTTTCTATCAATTTTTTTGACAGACTTATTTAAAGTAAAAAGTGTCATTTTTCAGGGGCCTTGAATTTTCTCGCGGATAGTAGCAAGGCAACTGTTCGTCCAATTTTTTCTCAGTGTATGCATAAAAATAATATTTATTATTTTAATATTAATATTATAATTAATTACAATGTAAATAATAATAATAATAATAATAATGAAAAAAAATAATAATTAGGGTCAGTTGAGGTAAATGGACACAGGGGGTTAATGGGGACAAGAGGTTTTGGAGCTTAATTTACAGTCTTAAAATTAAATTAAATTAAAATTAACCACAGATCACCTGCAAGAGGTTTTTCAATTTTTAGTAATTCTTAAAATTTAAATCAAATCTATATTTTATATATACCAATCGATTCGTTTTAATGCAGGGAATAAAATTATTTCATATATAAACTTGAATTTTAATAAACAGAACATTTTTTAGCTAAAATGTAAATTTTTGATTCTTTAACTTTCATTAATTCTTTAAATTTCAATCAAATCTATACTTTATATATACCAATCGATTTGTCTTGATGTAAGGAAGACGATTATATTACCTTAAATTTTTCTATTTAAAATTTTTTTCAATTAAAAAAAATTTTCTAAAAAAGACGATAAATTTTTTGGGAAACTTCCAAGAAGTTTACTCCGTGAACTTTATACAGTGAGGACATTTATAACTTGCAGGAAATTTCCACTGGAAACATGCGAACTTTCCAATAGAAACTTCTTGGAAAAAGTGGTGCTATCTGGGTATATTATATTACCTCGTGCGTGAACGAAGAATTTTGAAAAAAAAAATTTCTAGAAATGGCAATGATTTTTCCTCAAAAATCGTGATTTTAGGGCTTTCAAATTTGGTTTTTTGAGCAAAAGAAATATTAATTTTGGTTTAAATCTAAATTCCTTCGTTCACGCACTAGCTATTGTATGTATAAAGAACTGAACATTCTCGAGAGTATGTACTTTTGATATTATGCAATACAAAAAAATCGATTTAGTACATTAAAAAGTTATATCTTTAACAGTTTCGTAAAAAAAATCTATTAAAACCGTAAAAAAATTTTGCGTTCAGAGTGGCGTAACCCCTTAAGTTTAGAAAGAGAAATATATTTGTAAAATCTAATCTTACTTATGATAAAAAAAGTAACTACTATAAAAATGTGTAGCATGTTTGTGTTAGACTTTTAAAGTTTTAACAAACAAAAATTATAGCAACTGAATGTGTAAAAATGTACACATCAATAAACATACATTTAGCACACATGCCCTACATTTCCTTACATAAGTCATTCAGTTTCCATCTTACGTTTTCCTAAGCGTCTTAGCGATTAATAAAATTTTTACCAATAAGGGTCCTGGAATGTCATTCTTACATACTTCGTTTAGAGGTACTCCAAACTTTACTCTGTAAATACATATAAATTAAGATTAATAAGTAACAAATATATATATATCATATACAGTACAAATCTGATAAGTTTCCCATCTCGTCATCACACCAACGTTCACTCACACAAATTAGATGTCCCCACTACAGCGCCTGCCCGGTAAAAAGCAAGGAATAGAGAAGAATTGACAGTTTACAGAAATTGAGCTTAAAACGAGAATTTTTAATTCTTTTGAATAGGCGAATTTCCGACACAACCCTATTCCCCAATGAGCAACAAAATATCAATGAAATGAATTCTTCTCTATTCCTGACAGAAATAAATAAATAGAAAAGAATTCAGACTTCTTATTCTTCTGAATGCGCAAATTTTTTTATTTTAAAACTTTTGGAAGAGAATTAAAAAAAATTAAATGTTTGATGCGTAATTTATAAATGTCTATTCCTTTCAATTGACAGCAATAGAATTTCCGAAGCGTATTCAGAGGAATGGAAAATTCGTAGAATAAATTAAGTATCTCTATTCCTTTCAATTGACAGCGTCAGAAGAATAGAAGCGTTTTCAGAGGAATTGAAAAATTAGATAATAAATTAGGTTTTTATGTCTTGCAAACTACTGCGAATGAGAAGGAATAGAAAAAGTTCTTGATGTTAAAATAATTTATGTTAATATTTATTGTTTAGTCATACCTATTTAAAATAACTGAAGTATCTAAATATTTTTTTTTTATATTGTAAATCTAAAATTTTTTCAATATGTAAAATTGGAAATTTTCAATTATTCGCCTCTTACCGGGAAATTATTTTTATACTTGAATAATCTCTAACATAGAATTTTAATAATATTAATCAATATATATGAGACCTGATCTATTTATTTATATTATATGGAAATATTTCTATATACTTAAAAAAATTCTGGTAAAAAATTGAGTGCTGATTAAGTATTAGCATTATATAAATTACATTAGTTTGTTAATAAAATTTATTATATCAACATTGTTACTTAATTTATTTTCGAAAAAATTGGAATGTATGCAGACTTCACTTGATTGAAATTTAAGTTCATGTCCATGTCATTCTAAATTAAAATGTCTTACCAATGGCTCCCAGTGCGGTTGAGAGCTATGATGGTAGAGGGTTCGAAGCTCAGAGTTAACCCGTCGGAAAATGTAGAAATTCTATGGAAACTGTTATTTTGGTTGGAAACTTCGGTAACATATTGAAAAACGGGGTTCAATGTAAAAGTCACGCGCTCATGAAGCGTACTCTTCGCAAGTAGAATGTATGCTTTTATATAAATATATATATATGTATACAAAAGCATATATATATATAATGTATCTTATCGTGTAAGGGGGTATTTTCTTGAAAAAGGACGTTTTCGTAAATTCGCTTTTTCTCAAAACAACGTTTTTTGACCTGCCGGACATCATATTTAAGTTGAAAAAACGAAAAAAAGTCGGCCATTTTGTTTTTTTTTCATCGAAAATAGTTGATTGTAGTTCCGACGATAGCGACGAGCTTACTTTTAAAGAAAATATCGAAAATTTCATTGTTCGATGACTTGAATTAGAGATATCGTGTCCGCCAATCACAAGTAGAGGTATTTTCAGGCGGCCATGACAGCAAGATAATCCATAATAAATAAGGAATAAAATTTGTTTTTATAGTTTAAAACCCCTTCTTTTCCCTATTGACAATTCCGGCGCTGTTTCCTAAAGCGGATATGACATCGGAACCTATGCCGTTTTCGGCTTCGGATCCGTAGCCGGGATTTGGGATCGTTTCCGGCGTCGGATTCGATGTTGGATAAAGATTTTAAAAATTTAATTTTGTTTATTAAACAATTTTTAATGTTAATTTTATAATCCAATAAATTATTAAGTTTTAAAAGAGCATTTATAAATGAGTTCCCGGTTACACATATGTAACAAATCTAGATCTCTGTTACAAAAAATATAAATTTACCTCAAATTATTATAATAAAATTAGATTTCGTTACATTTTGTTTTTATTTGACGTCAATAATATAAATAAAAAAAAATTCTCCCGACGCGTTGACTCAGAGACTCGAACTGTTCCCTATTGAAAATCCCTGTACAAGATCTTGTACAAGACAATGTACATGTTCATCAGCTGAACTTGTACCTGTTCTGGTAAGAACATGTACAAGATCTTGTACAATTTCCGCACCAGAATTTGGAACAAGTTCTTGTATTAGAACTTGTACACGATCTTGTATTTGGTTTTTCAATAGGGTTGACCATCATAGCTCTCAACCGCACTGGATCCGACGCTGAACACGATCCCAAATCCCGGCTACGGATCCCATGTCGAATCTGAAGCCAAAAACAGCGTAGGTTCCGATGTCGTATCCGCCTTAGGAAACGGCGCAGGAATTTTCAATAGGGGAAACACGTGAAATCAGTAAAGACCAACTTCAATTTAAGACAGAAGGACAGACCAAGCCTCTTATTATTATATAATTTATTTTATTTACTTCAAACTTTTTATACCTTTAGGTATAAAATTAATGACAATGTTATGACGTGTCAAATTTTGACAATTCTTTTCTCATTTTTGCTAAAGTTGTATAATTGTGTTTCCAAATTTCGGAATTAGTTTCTTTAAAATTCCAAATTCAATTCACGAAGCTGAAGTACACAACGTTTATCAACAAATTTTTTTTAAAGTTGTATATTAAGCCTAAATTACATATATTTATTATAGGCGGAATATTTAAAGCATTTTTCAGATTAATATTCCGCTTATGTTAAATATATGTAATTTAGACGTAATATTCAACTTTTTTAAAAAAATGTTTTTGTTGATAAACGTTGCGTACTTCAGCTTCGTTTCAATTCTATTAAATATTAATTATATAAACATAATTTTCATTATTATTATTTAATATATAATAATATTCTAATAAATTTATTGATACACTGAAAAAAAAGACACGCATATGTACGCAGCGCGGCTCGTGTTTGTTTGTTATCGTATTATTGTTGAATGTTTTGTTATATTTATTTAACAATTTGATTCTGGAATCGTTTTTAATAGTAAGTACAGATGGTTTTCTACAAATAATATAAGCATTATTATAAATGTAACTTTCCTTTCAACATAAAGTGATCATTTCGTTTTAAAAGAAAGGTTAGGAATGGAATTTTCTGATACACCTTTTTCAATTCATTTATATATAATTTTCAATTATTATTGTTTTCCTTCTTTCACAACATTTTTTTTAAATATATTTTTGACAAATTTTTTATGTAAAGAAATACTGGTTTATAAAGGAAATTGCATATTTGTATTGAAACTTGCATTTTTTCAGTCGTGTTTTTCTTATTCTTGGCGCCAGTTGGGTTCTTAGTTTCCACTCTTCCTTTTTTATTCTCATTTTTCTTATTTTTGGGGCCAGTTGGGCTCTTAGTTTCCACTTTTCCTTTTTTATTCGCATTTTTCTTCTTTTTGGGGCCAGTTGGGCTCTTACTTTCCACTCTTCCTTTTTTATTTGCATTTTTCTTATTTTTGGAGCCAGTTGGGCTCTTGGTTTCCACCACTTTACAAACAGTTTTTCTTTTTGTAGCAGGAACTGTTTTCTTCTCTTCGAAGGACCACTTATTGGGATGCAAAAGAAAATGAATACATGGTTGGTTGTATAAACCATTAAATAAACAATACGAACAACTTAAGTGTTTTGAATAAAGCGTTTTTGAATTTTGCTGTGTCCAAATGAGTTGAAAAATCTTTTGCGTATTCGGAACAGTCTGTAGTTGCAACTTCACAATCGAATCCATTTTAACAATTTCACTTTCGAGTACCAAAAAAGCTTTAATCTTCTCGGAAGATGAGTTTATTATATCGATCATCGATTGAGCGCTGATAACATCTTTACCCTGTGCAACTGCTCAGTCGCATAAACCTTTTGCCGTTCCTCCAGTTCCATCGGCAGTGCTCTTTCCGTGCCCAGGGGAAGTGAAATTCCATGTCGCATACTTTAATTTCAATTCTTCACAACATCGTCTAAATAAATAAAAGTTTGTTTTGTTTTTATATTGGGTGGAAGGACCATCGCTTTGGTAATGCAGTGCAGAAAAATTTAGTACAGTTTCTTTAATCAGCTTTAATATTGGATCTAGATGTGCCTAGATAGACGCAGCGTCGTGGCGAAGAGATTCAGAAATGGTACAAAATGAATGGCATAACACTTCTCCAGATGATTCATTTTTGTAATAGAAAGCACCAGTGTAAAAAGATATTTGCTTTTTGGACGCACCAAAATGAGCACTGTGAATTTCGTCAGAATATTTTCAAATGTAATTTTGAGAAAAGTCTATCACAATATAAATTTCATTTTGCTTTAGATTCGTAAGGATGTTTTCGGTCGCTTTATACTGATGATCTGTGATATAGACATATTGAAAATATTGCGGAATCGATGCGTTAGTTTCTTTAACTAATTCGTCCACGTTACAAAATATCTTCTCTTTAGAAGTTACTTTTACATCGTAATTAAGGCCCTTTGCTCTTAATCTACTAACTTTTTTGGTTTACCATTTGTAGTACCAAGTTGGATCTAAATTTTTTTCGGTTATTATTTTTTTAACTTTACATTTTTCGCATTCTCTGTAATAACACTTTTTGTCTTCAACGTCGCAAACAAATGATTTTACAAATGACTGCGTAGATGAGCTGGAAAGTAGATTTGCAGCCTCCAATCTTTGGAGCAAAAAAATCATGTTGGTGTGAATTTTACATAAACAGGTATCACGGCCGGTAACTTTTCGATTGACAATCCAAAAAGGTTTTGCATTATAAAATGATCCTCTGGAAAGTTTGAAAGATCCCTCTGAGTTAAATTTTTGCAACAAATTATCCATCGTGTCCAGTAAAAATCTTTTCTTTTTAGTTGTTTCTCCCTTCGTAATTGTGTCTTTAACTCCAGGAGCGATAGCCGAGTTTTGATCTTTCTCTAAAAATTTTCTAACTTTTTGTAATATTTCATTTTTAATTGCAATTTTTTTGTCACGAGACTTTTCTAATTTTAATGTTTTCGATTCGCTGTATTTCTTTTGTGTCGTCATAGAAATTAAGTGCTTCATGTCCTTCATGCATTTGTACTTTTTAACTATTTTCCCCGCAAGACATTGTGAAAAAATTGATTTTGACTTCTCAGTTGTTAAGCTTTTCTTTTTTTCTATCAACTGTTGATTAAGAGCCTCAGCATATAACAATTTTTTTCTAATTGCACTAGATCCTTTGCGTTCAATTTTTTTTACTTTTTCCAAAAAGTTATCTTTGTTTCTATTTGCCAATCGATAATATTTCATTTTCCATTTACTAATAACTGAATTTTTGACATTAATGATGTTAACTAATTTTTTATTTTCCCTGCGTAATTGTTCCTTTCTATCTCGTGTTAACCGTATGGTTTTTTGGAGACGCTGAATATCTTTTGCATTGTACATTTTACCCATTTCGTCATAATTTTTATTATTTAAATTTATCGAATCATCGGGTGGTATTTGATTAGCAGTTGAAGGAAGCGGAAGTACATCATTGCTTTGAGCACTGATTTCTAAAGACGTGTTTAAATTGAACGAAGAGAATTGGTTTGATTACTTATTTCTGGAGACGAGGATAAACTTAAATTATCAGTAATGGAATTTTCAACCGATTTATCGCTAAAATAAACGAATATTATTCTTCATTTTAATTCTAATATTTTTAAAACTGGATAGCAATATAATAATAAAATAAGCTTACATTTTTGACTCAAAATCATTTTTTTCTTTTTCAAGACGCTTTTCATCATTGTATTTTTTTTACGAAGTAATTATTTGGCTCGTACATCAACAGCATCTTTACGCTTTTTTCTTTGTTGCTCTCTTTTGATTGATAATTTTTCTTCTTTATTTATTTTTTCTAATTCATCTATATTTCATTTATTAACAGGTTATGTTTTGTACTTATTTTAAAATTTGTCAAAATTATTACAAAAAAGTCTTTAATTGTACTATTAAAAAAACGCAAATTTTATTGAATACATTCATTTATTAAATATATTTATTTTATTTAATTTGACTTTCACATTTTTGAATAATTTCCTAACCATATTGCTAGAAATTGATACTTCTAAATGTAAACAAACATACTGAATGTATAACAAATAAAAACTGATATGTTTACACTTATAAAAAACAATTTTTAACAGTGAAAATTTAGAAAATTTTTTTTATTTATTATTTTTAAAATGTTTTAATTGAAGCACGTAGTTAGCGATCAGAAATAATAATCTTAATAACAATGTCTATCGTTCACGGAAAATTTCAACCGCTAATTTGTTAATCTGTGATTGTGCTATTGAAAAAAGTCTAAATTTCAAGCAATTCACGCTTATACATACACACATAATTATGTTTATAGTATCTTTATTTTTGAAAGCACACTGTTTAATAATGCCTCCTTTTATTCGTTTTTTAATGAGTAATATGCTCCCACAAAAAAATTAGAATTGGATTACTGCTGAAAGCACAAAATAGAAAAATTTCTATGACTTTCTATTATTGCAAAATGGGAGTAACACTTTTTGAATTGCTACCATTCAAGTTTAATTAAGGAGCACATATTTTATTCGACATTTAATACATTAATAAACACAAGAAGAATTGTTTACAACTTGATTTGAGCGATTTCGTTTTACGCTGAAAAACTTATTAACATTGTGACGTGACATTTTTTTGACACGTCACAATAATTGAATTAATACTTATATTCGATAAATTATTCTAATAGATATATTTATTTTATATATATTTTTTTAATTTGGTTCGATACGTAATTTTCCGTTAACATAATTTATTCTAACGAATATTTTTCACCTGCCGATATTAATATTCTATGATCAACTAAAGTTGCGTTTTAATTATAAGTTTTGAATTTGAATGGTTTACGCGCCTTTAATACCAGACGATAAAGCGTTCGCGCGCGAGATACTGAGGTTAGGCTAGGAAAGACTCGACGCAACCGGCTCCCATTGCGAGAAACACGAGGCACGAGAGAGAGAGAGCACTTTTGGCCTGCGACGAAAACGATAAACTTGTCTCCTGGTCTGAATCCATCATTTTGTTTTATATTAAAAACATTGTCGACGCCCAGAAAAATTGTGAAGCAGCGAGACCAGAGGAGAATCGTCTACGAGGAATACTGTGTATAGTAGCGTCCAAAAACTTGAATATTGGAAATCATCTGGTGAGTCTGAATACTGTTTTCCCGTCGTTACTCTATCGAAATATACACCTGTTGAAAAGAGAGCCGAATTCCGTTGTAATTAAAATGAATATGTCACGTTAGTTTTGTTCGAGTAATTTATAAAGATGGAAATCGGGCCTCTGATTAACAAATATCCGCCTCAATATCGATACATTAATTTATTTTGTTAACGTTAGTATGTCGCGGTAATAGATCATAATGGTGAAAAATATTCTATTAATTCCCGTAATGTCGATTTTTCTTTATGTGAATAATCTCGTTATTAAATAATATCGAGATCGAGTGTGTCCGCGATGAAATATATAACGATGGCCAAAAGTCAACTCTCATTTTGAATTTAAATAATATGATTAATATTTTCATTATCTTAATTTTCTTCAGAAATTTAACTTTCTTGTTTTTCGAATAATGTCGCGATAATAGTCATTATTTTTGTATTGAGAATTATTTAATATTTTTTTTGTGATTCAAAACAAATTGTGATTAAACTAATTGAGTAATTATCGACTAAAATTATAATATATTGGAATTATAAAACCCTTTAAACACAAAGAAAAAGGATTTTCTAAAGATTATATCGTTATTAACTTTTTTGAGAATTGAATTATAATTGAGGTGTTTATTTTAATTGTTTGCGAATATTGTATAGAAATTTCCTTTGAACAATATATATATTGATATAATTTAATTTAATGTATGTGATGTTATTTATTATTTTTTTTGTGTGCGAAAATACTCTCAACATGAACCCTCACCCCTTGTTTAAATAACAACCGCGAGCTAGTTCGTTTGACCAGGATTCCGGTGTAATTATGTGATCGAGAATAAATAAAGTAATTTAAATTTTAAATTTTGGAAATATGTTTCGTGATTATCGATAAACTTTTGTTTGGTAACTTCGATTTTCTTTTTTTGAGTTTAAAGTATATTTCTCTAAAAACAATTTGACTTTACGTTTTGTTTAATGCAGACATCGACTCATCTGTGAGTCTGGCGCTCAACACCTGGTAGATATTATTGATTTTGCGACTATTGAGATCTAGAAGTAAACAATAAAATTTCTTTTTATCGCTCATTTTCTTTTGCTATTCTTGATCACATTACCGAAGGTGATAGTCATACTTCCCCTAATGGCAGGGAAGAAGACAAAATAAATTCTGCCGTCAGCTGAAAGAAGTATTATATTTATTTTCTTTAATCTTTGGGAATCTGTTTCCAAAATATAATACCGTCCCGACATCGACCCTTAAAATTATTTGCCAATCTCACAACATTTAAGTTTAGAAAATATCCAGAGTAACAAGTGGAATTTGATCTCTGAAGATCATTTATGGCTTATTATTTCACATTAACTGTATAAAAATTGTGCTTTTGTTTGATTTTTTTATTAAATATAATGTCAAAAAGACACTGGTAATAATAAAAAAATTATATAAAATTATTAAAATTGTTTAAATGAAGAGTAACATGAAATCACACGGTTCCGTGGATTTGCCGATATATAATTATTAATACTATCGTTATTAGCAATATTGATTTTTTTAACAATCTCTAAAAATGGATTCATTTTTATATAAAATCCCCAGCTGTATTTTTGTTTTATGATTTTTAATCAATTTACTAAGTCAATATTTTATTTATATAGTGGAGTACGACATAGAAAGAATGAAAATAGAATTATCTTCTGAATTTCTAGAAAGTATGGAGTTTTTAAATAATGATGTAAGAAATTTGATTGGTGGTGAAAATGAAAATTTCAATTCTAATGCTGAAGAAGAGTTCAATATACTTCCTTTAGTACCAGAAAGTAGTGTGCACATTAAAATTTTAATTTCTTTTTCTTCTTATGAATACAGTGAATAAAAAAATATTCTAAAATAATTCTATAATTACACTGAAAAATGTATTTGATTCAAATACTCGATTACTTGACTATTATCAAATAAATATTTACTTGAATCAAGTAATTTTTATTTGAATTAAATAAATTGTATTTGAACCAATAATTTCTGTATTTGAAACAAATACCATTTAATTGACTCAAATAATAATTATTTGATACAAATAAATATTTATTTGATAATAGTCAAATAATCGAGTATTTGAATCAAATAAATTTTTTTTCAGTCTATAATGTTTATTTACACTAGGAATGTTTTTTTCGCCTAATTGCACATGTTGTTTTTTTATAGGCCCTTCTTTTTATAAAGAAAATGATTTATATTGGTTTTAAATGCTCCTGGTAATTTGCAAGGTCAAATTATTTTAGGTAAATACCAAGCGACTAAAGACCTTTATTATTCGCGGTTAAAAGAACTGATTATTTTGCATGAATTTCAAAAAGACAAGGACTTTAATAGTACTACTTTCATATATACTAAAAATAAAGTTAGTAAATACTTTTTCTTTTCATTGATATTTTTATTAAATACTAATATTTGTCAGAACGATTTCAGACGAATTTATATTTATATAATGATATCAGTTTGCAAGTTGCTAAAATGAGTCCTTTTTAATTTTTATCACGATCGTTCTCTCAATATAACTATGAAGAAAACTCCTGTACGGTTTTTGATACTATTTGATTAAATACTATATAAATGAAGTGGAAAAAATCATTTTATTTTTTTCATTGCAGAATTAGTGTAGACATTTTTTTCAAACTCCAAAGTGAATATCACGAACTGTTCAATACAGAAGAAGCTAATTTATTTTTTCGGGACAGATATAAAAATCCGGATAACAAAGTCGTTGGTTATTCTGGAGCGTTGCACAATGGCTACAAATTTTTTCGAAAAGAACTTCGCGTTTCGAATCATGCATTTATCTCGGACATAAATGCAGAAGACGATAGAAATTCCCCAACCACTAGTAAATAAAAAAAAATTTTTTTGAGAGTAAAAATAAAATTAATATTTTTTTGTTTATTTTTAGAAACTGACGATTTGTTTTAGGTGACAATAATTTACGATGTTTGACTGATCCTAACAATCGACAATCATATTCAGAAATTTTCAAAAAGTGTGAGGATCAATATTTATCACGAACAAAGTTTCTAGAGGGTACTAACAAAAGAGATGCAATTTCTATTAAGGACTATTTGAAAAGCTTCCCTTGTTTAAGTGGTTTAAAGGTTTGATTAATACAAGCAACAGCTCTTATTTGTCTGTTTTTGTATTTCTACTCGATTTTTTGTTTTAATGATAGTCACATATTTTTTAAATAAGTTTAACGTTGAGGAATATTTTATAGCTAGAAAAGGAATTTAAGAAAGTATTTTTGGAGCAGATTGCAAAAGCAATTGTAGAAGCTGATATCCTTCCTCAAATTCATTCATTATTTTCTCAAAAGTGGCCCGAAATTGCCAACAAAATTGTACAATACGGTAAAAAACTTTGAAATAAATAAGTTAAAGAGTTCTTTCAAAATAATAAAGAATTGATTGAGAAAGTAGATTTCGTCGACTGTGAAGAATTCGAAATTGGAAATAGTTTTTCTAAAAAACTTGTTGAAAATGATTTGCTCATGGTACCTGATTTGTTGCATGGTATTGATATTCCTTTGAGGAAATTTCTAAAATATTTTCTAGAAATACCGAAACTATTTGATAAAATTTTGGAATATATAAAAACCTTAGCCGATTAAACCTATTTGATAACAAATATAATGAAAGCAAATTTATGGGTGAGGAATTATGCGAATCAAGCACCGAACGAAATAATTCTGCCGCTTTATATTTTTTATGACGATATCGGCGACTTTTTTTAGAAAATGGACCTCTAATACATTTTTGGAGCATGCGTTATGAAGCTCGTCATAAACAAATAAAAGTAAATGCGCAATCAACAAGTTGTTCTAAAACTTTGTTAAAAAACAATTGCAATTAAACAAGCTCTTCAATTTTATGAAATGATAAATACATCAATCTCTGAAAATAATGTTAAAATACGATTACAAGATACCAATACAGTATGCAAAAAAAATTAACATAAATGGATTATTTTACAAAGTTAGATCCTTCATTGTAACAAACATGGATGATGTTGAAAAACAATTTGGAGAAATCATTGAAGTTATTGTGGAAAATAACGAAGTTTACTTTCTCATTAACCCATTAACGCCCAAATGTACAAGATCTTGTCTCCAAGTTTGACACTATATTTTAACTTCAAAACTCTATGAGAAGAATTCTGCAATAGTTATTTCTTATTGACCAAGAATCGCTCTTTCTATTGGTGCATTCAAAAATTTTGTAAATTTTTAAGTAAATAAATTATACATGGGTTATTTTTTATAAAAAAACGTGAATTTTTCAGGTTTTTTAAAAATTTTTTAATTTTATTATAAATAATCGTATTCGAATAATTCCAAAAGTCATAAATATCGTGTCAAAAATGAATACGCTATCAGATAGGGGTTCTAAGAAAAAACAAATTTAAAAGTGGTGACACAAGTGAATTATTATTTGTAATATTGTGACCATGTGCTCAAAATTACAAATCTTCATGGATTTTCATAAAACTTGATACCGAACTGTTTTAGATGTCTCTGATCACGAATACGGAATCAGATTTCAAACATTTAAAATGGCGGATCCAATATGGCCGACAAATTATAATATGTCACGCAAAATTTTTTAAAACTAATTGAATTCACTTAAGACTGGTTACTCGGAAGTTTTTAGGGTCACTGATTTCAAATCTGTAGTTAGGTTTTTAAAATTCAAAATGTCGGACGAAAATTTTAAAAACTAATTGGGTTTGTCTAAAATTCGTTACTCGGGGGTTATTGGGGTCGTCGCTGATTTCGAATCTGATGTGAGATTATAAAATTTTTCAAAATTAAAAATGGCGGTCCCAATATGGCGGATCAAATTTATAAAAATTAATTCGATTTGCCTGAAATACGTTACTCGGGGATTTTTGGGGTCGCTGATTACGAATATGGCCTTAGTTTTCAAAAATTCAAAATGGCGGATCCAATATAGCAGAAAAAATTTTTAATAATTAATAGCATTCGTCTAAAATTCGTTGCTTGGGGGTTTTTGGGGTCGCTGGTTACGAATCTGATGTCAGATTTGAAAAATTTTCAAAATTCTAAATGGTGGTTCCATTATGGACGAAATTTTTAAAAATTAATTGCATTCGCCTGAAATGTGTTACTCGTTGGTTTTTGGGGACGCTGAGCTCAAATATGGAGTCAGTTTTTAAAAAATTAAAATTAGTGAGGCTGTTGTAATTACCTTATATAAATTAGAAATACAATTTTTTTTAATAAGTCACGTTTCCTTGCCGTCTTTGTTATCAAAACTTTTGACGTTCCTCGACTCTTAGCACGTGGAGGTGAACGTAAATAAAAAGCCTTTTTTGGTTTTTTTGTATTTAAGTAAGTATGAACATCGCAAATGTCAGTTGAGCAGTATTTTCGCTTTGTTTGGTTTTGTATTTTATTGCTCTTTAGTTCGCTAGTGTTTTTTCTTTTCCAAATAACTTCTTGCAATATCCATTGCAAAATTTTTAGCCGACAATTTTTTGTAATTTTCTCGCTCACTATTAAACAATATAACAGCATTAGCGAGAGATGACTGAATTAGTTGCATCAATACTACCCAAGTCCACTTCTTGCTTCTAAATGTAGGCAATAAAGTACTACAATACTCATCATGTATATCGGCTCCGCCCATATACTTATTATACTTTGCAAACGCATTCGGCATGGCAATATCATCTTTGCGACTTTTGTCTTTGACGTAGCGTTTCACATTTTGTAGTGGACTGACAGCAGCAGCTGTTGAAAGTATCGAAACTTCTTTGGAATCCATCAAAGTAATATAATTTAGGCCACTATTTTTTTCGTGTTTTACTTTCATGGTTCCTCGGGAAACATTGTTCGCTAACTTATTATTCTCTTTTACACGGTTCTGTTTCACAGTTCCAGTCGCTTTTAGACCAATTTTGTGTAAATGAATAATTAAGTCTGGACTTGTATAGTAATTATCAAAGTAAAGATGATATTGCTCTACCTTTCTTCGAGAAGTTACCAAGAGAAAATTTTTTGTCATATGTATGACTACTCTGCTTCCCAAAGAGCAATTTCCTAAATTATCCTCTTTTTTGAATTCTTTCCACAGTAGGTGTCGCATTCGTACAAATAGCTATCAGATCCACATAGAGCCCAAAATTTTATGCCAAAACGCACTGGTTTATTTCTAATATATTGCCTAAAATGCAAACGCCCTTTAAATTTCACCATCATTTCATCGACAGCAAGAGCGGTTTGAAAATAGCCATAGCGTATTATATTGGTTTTGAATAATTCTAAAATTGTTCTTAATCTCCAAGCAGAATCTTTTGCGTTTTTATCATTGCCGGCCTAACAATAAGACTTTCTAACAAGGGATCAGTTGACCAAAAATCTCTTTCGGATGTACATTTATTAAAGGTCGAAAAAATTAATATGCCTATGAAATTATCTAACTCGGACAATGTAATGGATAACCCATATGCAGAACAAGCTGCTATGATATATTCTTTCATAGATTTAGAGAAGAAGAATTCGAATAGTTCGATTGGCGAACTTTCAAAAATGATTTTTTTATCATTCTCTTTCAATAAGTTTTAATTTTTTCTTTTTCTTTTTATTCTTAGAATACTCTGAATCTGACTGAACGACATTATAGTCTGTTCATCCACAACATCACTTTCAATCTCGCTATCTTCATCACTATCATCGCAAACATCATCAACATCTGAATTATTTGCATCGGGAATTATAGCAATATTAATGCAATCATCATATTCAAAAACCTCTGTTCAGCATTGCGGAAAATATGTAATAATAACTATTTACCTTGATTTACAAACTGGATAATGTTTCTCACTTGCCAATGATATGTAAAATAAATTAATGCAAAGAGAAAAAGATAGGTATTTCATTAGACAAATACCCAGAGAACGAAATACTCTATTGCAATAATGTACCGCTATATTTATGAATCAAAAACTGTAAGCATCTAATCCAACAGGTTTAGAAAAAAATAAATATACAAGATTGTTTTAAAAACTGACTCTAGATTTGAGCTCAGTGTCCAAAAAATCCACAAGTATCAAATTTCAGGGGAAAGAGTAACGAATTTCAGGCGAATCTAATTAATTTTTAAAAATTTAGTCCGCCATATTGGATCCGCCATTTTGAATTTTTGAAAACTAAGGCCATATTTGTAATCAGCGACCCCAAAAACCCCCGTGTAACGAATTTTAGGCAAATCCAGGTAATTTTTAAAAATTTGGTCCGCCATATTGGATTTATAAACTTGAGATTTCTTTGATTCAAATACAGGAAATTAAATTGTCAGAACGAGATTTCAGAAAATTCCCTGATAATTCCAGGATTTTAAGGTTTTCCATGACTGAAAAAAAATTTCCTTACAATTACAAGTTTCTCAGATTTTCCAGGTACGTGGCAACCCTGTCGATTTAAGTTAACTTTGGTAACGCATCTTTGACGGTTAAAAAAAATTATTGATAAATATTAACTAGTTATTATTAATAACTAAACTTATAATTGTTTGGTGAATATCACAATAATTAAAAAATGGCCAACATTTCTAATTTATTTTCAAACTAATCATAATCTTTTCGTTTCCTTTTTCCGGGCAGCTCGGAAGAGGAGCAAGCGCATCTTTTTTGTTTTCATCCTTGCAAAATTGACGTATTTCGTCAAATAAATACATCTTACGTTCATTTGTAAGGCCAATAGAATAGATGTCTTTTACCTCATTTGCATTTGGGTTTAATTCAATTTTAGAATGAACAATTTCTTCTGTTGAATCAGCGAATAGTTTCGCTCGAATTTCACCATTGGGAAAAAAGCAAAATGGTGATAATTCGTAATTTGTAGAATGGGATAAAAATGCTGTTTAAATAATTTGTCACATTTTTTCCATTGCACATTTCTAATATTTGTTGTGAGATCGACTGACGGAAGAGCAATGTTATACCCATGGGTCGAGGAAGTCATACCGTGCGTATTTGGAATTTAAAATGCCGAAGTTTCTATCAGGACTGAATTTCGTGTGCCCTGTCAAAAGGAAATGAACGGAAATTTTTTTATTTTTACCTGTCATCACACGCCACAAAAGATAATGCATCATTGCATTGTTTTTCTTCTGACCGACACAATTATCCGCAAATAAAATTATTTCTACAGCATTATGATTACTTAAATAATAATCTATCATGCTAATGACAGAATTAGCACCTTTTCCGGATGATCTGCTTCGTCCATCAAAAAATTCGTTTGCACACCGCTGCTCTCGTCGTGAATTCCTAAAATTGCACATTTTCTGGGTACTTTGAAGTATAATTTTCCAACTTGTTGAGGACTTAAAGGGTAGGAAACGTTTTGAGCGTAGTCGAACGAAAGAACAAGACGCGACGATTGCTGTTTTGGGTCTTGATTCAACAATTTCATATCGGCCCTGTAAATATTATAGAATTCTCGCTGTCTTTTTGCCTGCTGTAAATGCTCCATTGCAATAGAAATTATTTTAACTTTATCTTCATCCGGTAAGTTTGCAGATCGTGAGATTTCTAAATTATTTTCTCGGCATGTGTCGCAAAGATCGTCCGCAGCTTTCATTGTTGTAATGTAAGGACAATAAGTAGACCAAATTGTTTTAAAAGAAGTCAGTGATATTTTTCTCACATCATTATCGTTCTTAGTGTCTTCTTGATACTGTATGTACACAGAGCTTTTCGTTTCACTCGAAGGAAGTTTGATGACATTATAGTGTCTAATTGAGGCATACGACCTGGCAACGAAATAGCAGTTTTTTCTACTACAGACAAAATATACTTTACAACTCTATCAATATCATCAACTGATAAGACATTGGACAGCGATGGTACTTTTTTAGATAACTTATGAACCTGGGGATTCATTACCATCTGGTCAAAATGTTTTAATAAATTTTTGTAACTCTTTTCGCCATCAAATAAAAAAAAATTTGCGACAAATGGGAATGTCTACTATGTAATAATTTATATTATGACGATTGCTTCCGCCTTCCTCTTTGCATCTTGATTTTTTTTGACGAAACATTTGTTATATTCTTCTTTAAATTGAGTAATTTGACAGTGGGCTTGTAGATGAGCCAGAATAATTAAATCTTGCTCAGCTTTTTCCAGTTCGAAATAATTTAATCTTCAAAAAGAAATAAACGTGTTAATTAAAAAAATGGTTTTCGTTAAAATGGGAAAATCTAGCAGATTTAGAACACTGAATTTGGTGTTGGCACGGTGATCTGTTAATAAAAAGATAAAATGAATAAAAAACACATATATTTTAATTTTATCTGATTTTAGATGTATTAATGAATAAATATTGTTATTTTTATTGAAAAATAACAATTATTTATTATAAAATTAAATAAATAAAGTCAGTGAGATTTCAGTGTTCGTTCGGTGTTGGTTATTAAAAAATAAGTATAATAACACGCAAAATAATAAAAATAGGCACTGCACTTAATATACACTTTTACACTAGTATATATCTAATTTTATTTTGCATAAAAAATTACATATTTTACTGTTTTTAATATAAAAATAGTAAAATATGTAATAAATGCACAAATCAACTTACCACTCACCATACCGCAACGACTTGTTGTCGCGCACGGTCGCGCAGACTTTTCGTCCGCCAGGAGGAGTTGTCCATTTATCTGTGTATCAGTTAAATAAAATGTAAACAATAACAAACTGAAATTGAAAGGTGACTAAGGAACGCAAAGCTGTTTGTGTTGAAGTTATGGTTTTGTGAAATGTAACTTGTGCTTGTGCTAAAATGTGCTTTTTTCTGTTCTGATAACAGGATAGAAAATAATATTTGGAATGAAAGTTGTTCAATTTTACTTCTATTTTTTAAATATCTAGTAGAAAATAACGTTAGTACAATAGAAGAATCTAAAAAATTGAAATAACTTTAAAAAGTGACTTTTCTCAAAACAATATTTTAAAAATTTTTTCGTTCAGTCTTTAAAATTTTTTTTGCATTTTATGCTAATGTGGTGATTTTTTTACTACAAATTTAAAATATAAAAGAAAAATCAAACATATTTCATAAAAGGATGTATTTACACATTAAATTGAAGGTCAATCTGCAATTATATCTTCGATTTTTCTGACATGTTTTTTAATACTAATTGAGACTATAGATTTCATAAGTTTTTCCATTTTTTTAACAAGTCGTTTACGAGATATGCATTTTTTGAAATTACAAAATTTAAATAATTTTTTATTTTGAATGACCTTATCTTCGTTAAAAATAAATCAATTTAAATATTTTGTTAAATGTGTTTTTAAAGCTACATTTAAAAAAAAAATTAACAATTTTTTTCAAACATTATTGGGTCAGACCATTATAATTCGAATAAAGTCGTTGCGGACGAATTTTAGAAAAAATTGATTTTTTCAGAAATGATTCTGTACAATATCTAGGGAATTAAATAAAAAGAATTATGTAAAAAAAAATTATTTTTCTTAAAATATGAATTTAAAGTGGAAAGGATACGCAAAAGTGTCACTTTTTTAGCGATTAGAAAATGTATAAAAAAACAGAAAAATTATTAAAAGTGTAAAAAATATTATTGATTCTTGTCATGTATGCGCAAAAAAGAAGAAGAGATGGGGACAGTCTGGAGGAAACTAGAACAATGACTTCACGCGCTACAAAAACTAAATAATTTTTTTCTTGGAAATTAAAAGACATACCATCTTTTCCAATGTCTTAAAATTTTTAAGGACATTGTAGAGAATGTTCATGAATTTATGAAAATATACTTTTCGTATTACTTAAACAATTAAAATTGTTTTATTAATAAAAATTAAAATTTTTGAATGTTTTTTTCAAAATTTTTTTTCATGAAAGGGCATCTAAATACAAGTATTCAAAAAAAAATTCACCCCGATTGGTTAAAAATTACGGAAGTTATAATAAATTTAAAAAAATTACAAAAAATTTAAATGAGCAATAATTTGAAAAATATTATGAATTTTTTATAAATACTTAGGATTTATTTTTATGGCCCTTAAAACAACTCAAATTACCGTCATGGGGCGGCGCCTTTAAACTTGTTTTAGAGGGCTCTGTTTAAGCTGAAAAATTTGACACCGGTCACTATAGAGGGAGCCACCGGGCCAAAGGCCAAATCTATTTCACCTTTATAACCAATGGAGAGCATTCAAAGGTACAGCGAAATAGTGACAGAGTAACTTTAATTTCATTAAAGTTTGGAAGAGAGAGTCACCACCTCACAAGAGAAAAGCAACTTTTCCGTCGTGACGAGCACCTCAATTATTGTTACCAGCAGCTAGTCTCAATAATGGTGTGGATACAAAGCTTTAAAAAAATGGCGACTGACACTGTGGAAACTGTGGAGTCCAAAAGTAGTTTATAGGTTATGTATCATATTCGCGAGTCGATTCACCACCCCACAATAGAAAAGCAACTTTTCTATTGAGGCGAGTATCTCAATCATTGAGAACAGCAACTGATCTCAACAACGATGGTGATCGAAATTCAAGTTAGTGCCGAGGAGGGGGTGAATGAAAACGAGTCAATGTGCAAGTGATCATTTATTTTCATTAAGTACACTTTGTTGAAATAAGTCTAAGTCCCACAAGGGTACAATATTTCTAAGTTTGTTTATTCGAGTTTGCATTATAAATGAATAAGAATAAATGTTTCACACTTCGCTTTCATTTATTTTTTTAAATTATATATTTCATATTCCAAATCGGCTTTTTTAGACTTCGAAGCATTTATTTTATTCATTTATAATGCAAACTCGAATAAACAAACGTCAATTCAAATGTTTAAGAAAAAAGAATTCACGGTAAGATGAAAATAATTCACCGTAACGTTCCAATTCGGTTTTTTCGCCAAACCGAATTCAGCTTAAGTTACCACCAATTCTTATCGCTTACTCCCAATTCTTTTTTTTACTGGGTAGGAAGCTGTTGCGTAATATAGGGTAGGCTATGCAGGGAAGGCAATCAACTCTGAGTGAGCTCTGCAACAGAACTGACGTTTTGGTCCAGTGCATCGGCTTTTATAGCCCACGACTCTTCCAAAACGATGAAAATAGTGGGAGAATTTTCCAAGAGAGGGGCAAATTTTCCGTCTATGCACTTCGTACTCTTGACCCGCGGAAAACCGCGAGTAAAGAGCCAAGTCGCGCGTCTTCTCGCGAGATTCACCTCTATTTATCTATTCTCTCACATCCCTGCTTAACCATTCCTAATTAAGCTAATTAATAACTAATCTTAATTAATAAGTGTGATATATGGTAATAATATTATTATATTAGATTACAGTTTGTTAATATAATATGTTACAAATACACATATGTATATGTAATATATTACAATATAATATTATCCATATTAAACACACACACACGCACATATATATATACACTAGGGGGCTAAGCCCCTTGCTCGCTTCGCGCGCCAACCCTCATTCTCTAAAATTGTCGAGACAAATTCTGAACGGTACGTGAATTGCATGGTAGGCGAGTACAGCGAATTCCAGCGTAGTGTAGAAATTTCCCCCTCTTCCCCTCCTTTCCCCCTCCCTCACCCTAAATTTAGAGGTTAAGATCGTTTCAAGACTCTGAATATAGCCGCAAGCCCCCCCCTCCCTTCTCTTCTACCCCCCTTCTCTTGACTTGCGGCTGTATTCAGAGTCCCACATGGTAGGCGAGTACAGCGAATTCCAGCGTAATGTCGAAATCCCCCCTCCTCTCTTCCTCTTTTTTTCCCCTCCCCCCACCATAAATTTAAAGGTTAAGATCGTTTCAAGAATATAGGTAGATATATGTATATATATATATATGGGACGTTCCACGTCAAACGGAACAGAGCTCTAGCCAAAAATTGGCTTGATAAAAAAAATCGTTTAGGGGCTGAAAAAACTTGTACACTCTTGTACTTTCGAAAGCAGATGGGCGATTTCAGAAATTCAATATGGCGGCGCCTCTAGATGTGATATAAGTCATCAATGTCACGATTCGACAAATACAAACATGAATAAAATTTCCAAAATTAATTAAATTGAATCAAAAAATACACTTTAAAGCATTTTTGTGGTCGCTGAATACGAATCTGAAGTCAGATTTTAAAAATTCAAAATGGCGGATCCAAAATGGTGGTCGATTTTTGTTATAACTCAATTTTTTTAAAAAACTGGTTACTCGGGGGTTTTTGGGGTCGCTGAATATGAATCTGCAGTCAGATTTTAAAAATTCAAAATGGCGGATCCAAAATGGTGGTCGATTTTTGTTAAAACTAAATATTTTTTCTCAAAACTGGTTACTCGGGGGTTTTTGGGGTCGCTGAATGCGAATATGTTGTAAATAAAATAATAATAATAAAAAACTAAGCGCATATGAAAAATAAAAAAATAATATGTAAAATTAATGAGTAGTAAAGTGTTTGTAAGGACTTTTGATATTTAAATCTTTCTTTTACATAGGTAAA